AGTCTGGTTACTTGCTCCAAACCCTTACCATAGAAAATATAGAGGTACATAAATTACGAACACAAGATGGAAAATAATTTTTAAAAAAGAAAAAAGGAAAATGATGTTTCATGGCATTCGGACGCAATGTAGACATTTTCTTAATCTTCATTAATTTGGCCCTTTGCTTAGAATTAATATAAGAGGAAAAGGTTAAAAATGAAGAAAGAAAAATAGAAAAATAGAAAAAAAGAAGAAGAAAAGAAAACCCAAATCATATCTATATTATCAAACCAAATCCATTCTAAGAATCATAATCATCTTTTTCATGGTCCATCAACTTCCAGGAACCGTCTTCCTGTTGAACCATTCCTTTGTTCTTTAGAATCCTCCAATTCTCTGGCACAAGATATTCATCCTTTAAAGCATCCTCCGCTTTATTTACAAGCGCAATGCCCCGGTGAACTTCCAACTTAAATCCCCCTTTACTCCCTCGAGTTCCTGCCACTCCATGCAAATAACATTCCAAATTATGCCAAGTTGCCAAGTTTCCAGGACTTTTCAGGTACTCAGATTTTCGGGTATCAATATCCAACACTTCTCCCACATCCGAATAACCAATCAAGGGATAGTTGGGGACAACATCTGAGGCATTACGGACACGTAAGGCTCGAACAACTTTGAGCTCAGAAAAGGCCTTTCTCCCACATCCGAATAACCAATCAAGGGATAGTTGGGGACAACATCTGAGGCATTACGGACACGTAAGGCTCGAACAACTTTGAGCTCAGAAAAGGCCTTCTTGAAGTTAGAGTCACCCACCCGAGGACTAGCAAATAGAAAGGCTGTAACAGGACAGTCCCTGTGCGGCCATTTTGCAGTTCTATTGTAGCCATTGGCAACTATGTCTACCGCATTCAATGTTGCAAGTGCTGCACCTAAGCTGTGTCCTGTCACAGTTATGCTAATCTCCTCATCCTTGTATTTTTCCACTAGTCTCTTGACCTCCTTAAGAACCTAATCAGGAATTGAAAACGAATTGAGCTATTAGGCATTATGGACTGATCAATTTACAAGTATTGATCGTGTCAAAGGTTCAAATAAACATGTTATAAAAAAAATTATGCGAATAATAAATCACCTGATCTCGGGCACTGCTTTTGTTAAAAGGGGAACGAGGGTCATCCGAAGTGTAGATGGAGTACCAACCTTGGTGCACCTTAACCTCACTACCTTTACCAAAAATCTTCTCAGTAGAAACCAGATTAAACTCCAAATCATCAACCCACTCCAGCGCCTGCTCTGTCCCTCTCCACGACACCACGATATCCCTCCGCCCCAAAACCTCCTTCCCTTCATCCGTGGCAACAGCCACGTACCCCATAAAGTTGGATTCCTTGCACCACGCCTCCCTGGACAACGACTTTATAATAAACGCCTCCGGTAACTGAATTTCCGAGGTTGCATAGAAAAATCTGGTAACCTCATACCTACAAAGATTCAAGAAAGTTATAATACATTTGAACCCCTGAGAATTGAATCTTGGAATTAAGGTTTTGAAATTAGTGAGTACCTGAACGGATTGCCTTTCTCAAGACCCACCTTGGCGAAGAAATCCTTTTTTGCATAGATGCTGGCTCCGGCATACTTTGATACCTTCTGGGAGTTGAAAGTATCATAAGTAGCTTGAGCCATTTCGCCATAGTGGATAATGTACGGCCGAAGATCGGAATCCAAAGGGTCAAGTAGATTTTCCCAATTATGTTCTCCACTCAGATTTCTCCATTTTTTTGCTATGCTATTAATGAACTCCACCATTTTCTTTTCTTCCTTTCCCAACTACTTTCCGTGCAAATGTTGATTTTTTATGCCTTGTAAGGGTGTTTCAGAGCTCTGACATTGCCTAGATTTATACAAACAGGACTTGCATTGGTTGATGTTAACAAGAAAAGCACAGAAGCAATATAGAAAACCATCTTGAACTTTTGGATTCCTTTGACATTCCAACAAATTGACATAAATTAATAAACACACTCAGAGTCGGTTGTACTCCTGATTTTGATTAGGATGGACCAATGAATTAAATTGTTTCAACCAAAAAAAAAAAAAAAAAAAAAAGGAAAAATCGTTTTTTTAACCTTTCCCAGGCATGAATAATGTTGTTCCTATTTGATTTGGTCATACATTATAATAAAATTAAGATCTTAGTCCAATGACCATATCAATACTTGTAAAGTGCCGTGTAATAAAAATTGAGCATTATTAATTAGTAAAAAACTCACCAATTGCCTTCTCAATGTCTTGTTTCATGCGTGTTGTTTACTACAAAAGATAATTCAATTTATGCTCTCAGAACTTGATGTTTTCATCACTCATTTAGCCATGTCACACAATTTTTTTAATGAATAACAGTGATTAACTTATTAAAAGTGAATATAAAGATACTTAAACTCGTATATAATATTAAAAAACTTATACAATATGAATACAGAAACATAAGTGCAAGGAGTATGCTCAAAATGTTAATCCTTATCTACCATTTTGAAAAAAGAAAAAAAAAAAAAAACGTTCGTTTTCATTAAGATACAAAATATCTCCAGTAAATTTTGTATCCTGTATGTAGGTTTATACATGGCTTAATATTTACTCCACTCTTTGATGTGAGGCATAGCTATCGCTTTTAAGTTTAGCTTTTGGGTTTTGTGGCGAAGAATTCGAACAACAGAATAGGGTTTGCTTTTAAGTTACCTGCAGAAGAGAAGATTGTGTGGCTTGGAAGATGGAAAAGGCAAGTATTGTGATATGGGCAATATGTAGGTTGTCAGATGGGTTTTCAATTTGGGAAATCTTTTAGAAGTGGATGGGTGATTCTTTTGAATTTACTATTTAGGGATATTCTAGAGCTTTAATTCTTTGCCAAATATGGATGAGTTTAGTCACTTTACAAAATCACATGGGATATAGGTAAAATAAAGTAACTAGATGTCTATTTTTTGGAATTTTAAACCATTATTTATGGGGGATGTTTTTATTCAGCCAAAGAAATGAAAAGTATAACATCTCCATAGGAAATGCCTAGTTGTGGGGTGCGCTTGGTCCAGTTAATTCAAAGGGGCTCCCATCCAGCCCTACACAAGAGGATATTGGGCTGATGTCCAATACTCATCGGCGTTTATTTTAAGCATTTATGGCCTTCTTCGTCTATAGCCTGTAATGGGCCCTTATTCCCGGTGTAGATCCATATCTTCTTTAAAAAAAACATTAAAAAAAAATTGGGCTGATGCATTTTTTCATCTCTTTACAATCAAGATATTTAACTTCAAAATGTCTTGAAAAAGAGATTGCTGCCAGCAGATGACTTAAATAGTTAGCATTTATCTCATAGAGAAAAAATAGTTAGCATTTTTAACATTTAGGGGTGTGTGACCCTATTACTTAAATGATTTTATGGTAATTTCAATATTTTAGTAAAAATAATAAATTTGGAGTTGAAATCTCATGATATACAAATGAAATGTTAAAAAATTTTAAAAAAGTTATTTCTTATTATATAATTTAAGATAAAAAAAATTAGGAGTGTGTGCATGGAGTCAAACTAGAGTCTTCTCAAGCACTTTTAATATTATCCTTAATATCATTAGATCAATACCATATTCGCAATTTATATTAATATAATTTTTTTTACATAAAATTAAAAAATTTAAATTTAAATTTGTAATGCGCATATAACTCTATCACAATAGCTAGATTACGCGGCCGATAGTAATATAAAGCTTTTATAAAAAAAGTATATTAATTAATTATTAGTATATCATTTTCCTTTTTCTTTTATTCTATTTACTAATTTTACTAAATACAAACCAAACGCAATCCACATTACTCTTTGGAATGGACCAGCAACCACCAATTCACCTAAACCCAAAATTTGGCTACAACAAATATATGTCTACTTCTATTCCAGTGTAAGTCCAAAATTTTCTTTCTTGTTCCCAATCATGAAATGGCCTGTAATCAGGGGAGGCTACTTAGCCCTTTTCAAGCATACCATTATTTATCTTTCCCTTACTTTCTCCCACCATCGTGCAATCGATCCAAGTCCAACACTCTTTCCCCACTGGTCCCCCTCTATATTTGTCTTAATCAACAATGACACTACGAACTCATCTCTCTACATAATGCATCAAGTACAAAAAGTTCATTATCATAGGATCATGCTTGATTGTAAGTAGCATTGTAGGACAATTTTATGTTTAAACCAGAATACAGGGATTGGTTCTTGAAAATAATTATAGAAAAATTAAAATTAGGGTATGTTTGGTGGAGTTTTGAAGCACATTGCTTTCTCATAAATTTTCAAATATGTTAGAGGAAAAAAATTTTAATTTAGCTTTTTAAATTCCTCATAGGCCACTTAAAAAATAATATTTAAAATTTTCCTCCAACATATTTGAAAATTTGTGAGAGAGAGCTATGTTTACTTATAAACAAGTTTATTAGTAAGTCCTACCAAACATGTTCTTAGTTACAAATACAATTAACTCATTTTTTTTACTAAATTTTTCAGTATTTAAAAGTTACGTTGAATCTTAATTAATTCAAAATTGAGGTGGGTCCAATCCCATAAAAGAAAATTTTTTTCAATATTTATTTTTTTATTCACAAATTTTAAACTCAAATTTTATTTAAGGGAACCAAATTCTTTCTATTTAAATGAACAAATCGTTGATACTAGCTCAATTTATATTTTTAGCCATAATAACCATATATAATTTCAATTTTTAAATGGAGGAAGTATTTCCTCACAAGTTCTCTTTGTCACCAACAAAAGTGCTAAAGCCTTCAAAATTTCCTTAATGGTAGTACCCCTACAAATACAATCATCAGAGATATACATTAGTGGCCTTAACTTTTTTAATTTGTTGGTGGTAATAATAACCAACTATGTCCCCTTTTTTATTCATGCAAGATTATATTTTCATTAGCTTTTGACCTAAAAGAAAGTAAAGTTTTGTTCAAAAAGAAAATTCAAGAAAATCAAGTCACAAAATTAATTAATAGGTGGAACTAAGTAAGTTTGGTCCAGCTAATTACAAGTCTCATTTGTCTAGTAATAAGGATTGATTTTTAGTTTTTTTTTTAATTATTTTTTAATTTAATTTATAATAACTTGCAAAATAAAAACTCTTAAATAAAAAAAGAGATTCTTCGTAAGTAAAAACAAACTCCTCGTGTGATAAGATCCATGTTCCTTTTTTAAAACTTATGCAAAAACTCTTATCAAAGAGAAATATTACATGGTGATAAAATACATGTCTTTTCCTCTGAAATCTAGTTCACCCTTTTGCATTGATACTCGTATATATAATGTCTTATGGCATGTCCTTATTTGCTCCGGACGTCTTCACACTTCTTGTCAATGGACCACAAAAATTCAGTGGTATTATTTAGGCAGGCGCTCCAGGAGTTCAGTCAGTAATATATCCAGACAAGCACGCTAGATTTGAGAGAAAAGTAGATTAACCTTTAGTAATGTCGTAACCTTCGTTTTTCATTAATTCGTGGAATCGTACCCCTTCTCTTCCAAAATCCGAAAGTTTTGATGCACGCACAAGTTCTTGCAGAGTAATCAAAGCTATGACATACTACCCAGGGACCAGGGTCTGTGCGGAAGTGACACATAAAAGTTGGCCTTTTAGGTACTAACGATGGAAATGATTACCATCCATTCGGTTGGTTGATTTGAATAAAAAAAATTTAATTTATTTAAAATAAAATTTTAATTTTAATTATTATAAATAAAATAATAAATGTTAAAAGAATTTTTTTATAATATTTAAT